CTCAGTTAATGAAGCAGCACTCCTCGCAAGTTCTTTCTATTTTTCATTCTATGCACTCCCCGCTAATTCTACCTATTTGTCAGCCAATGTAGCAGCATTCCTTTATTGTAGTAAGTTACTAAGGTTTTAGCTTTGGCTAAAAATGGGTCATTTTACAAATCCAAGGGTTGAAAAGAAAGAGAACGGTTAACTGAAAACTTAAAAAGTTGAGTCAGAAAAATAGGTGAGAGTTTTGAGGATTTGTTGATATAATTTTTATAGCACGGAGGGACAGATACAGCAAAAGGATTTGACTTGGCAAAATGAAAAGTGAAAATGAGTTTTGGTTGATTATCAGAGATGATGGCTTTATCATGAGAGTATTTGTTGAAAAAAAAAACATGCAACCTTTGAATTATGAGAGAGTTGCTTAAGCTTGTCTTATATGACAGGTCCAACTAGATTTACAAAGTGCTTTTGAACCTTGTCTCAGAGTGAATGGGTTGTTATTCATCAATATAGGAACGTCAACAATATTGCAATATTTGTTTGATGTAAACAACTGAGTTTTGTTAAAGTTAAAATCACTGTTTTTTGTTAAAGTCACTGCATGTTCTAAGCTTTTAAAAAGCTTAGAACATGCTTTAGAAAAAGATTTGTTAAAAGATGTTAAAAGAAGAGAGATCAGAGTAGAGATCAGCTGTTTGTTGCTAAGCAATAAACATGTGAAGCTTTTTGTCAAGGCAAGAGTATAAAGTTGAGCTGTCAACAAATAGTCCCATATTAGATGTATGATTGTCAATAAGATTGTAATTGTAGAGAAGAAAATATACAAGAGCAAAGAAATAACCTTGCGTTTAAATGTCATAAAAATTATAGGTAAATAGATAAGATGGACATATAATTAAATATAAGAGAATATAAATATAAGATAAGAGGCGCGCTTATGCATACATAATTTGAATATATACGGATATAAACATATACACTTGTTACTTATTTAGTTACTGGCATAAATATCTTTATATATTTTAAACTTTAATATTTGTATGGTGTAGTATTTGCTGAGAGAGAAGATGATAATCAGATGGATGCTACATTGACTGACAAATAGGTAAAACATGCAAGGAGTGTTACTACATCGAATGACAAATAGAAAAAACATGTTAGGAGTGCTGCTACATTGACTGACAAATAGATAAACATACAAGGAATGCTGCTACATTGACTGATGAATAGGTAAACATGCAAGGAGTACATACATTTAAGTATTATTTTAAAATGGTAATCCATTGCCTTATTTTCTTGCATTTTGTTCTTTCCAAGGATCACTGACAAAAATTGCAGATGAACTAAGATGGACCAAGACAATATTTTCATAAAAAAACAATAAAGTTCATTTGGTTATGATTGACATATCTCTCTAATGCGAAAAAAGCTATTAATGTTGGGTTGTTATCTCACTAATATGAAGAAAAGTTATTAATAATTTTAATTCAATGAAAGTTCTTTTTTTTTTAATTCTGTTTTATTATTATTATTACTTTTATTATTATTATTAAAGTTTATAAAATATTTATAAAATTAAATTAAAATTGTTAATTTAATAATAAATATCAGTATTCTAAAATTTATTGAGATTAAAAATTTATTTCTTGTTTATGAAGTGTGTTTTCTTCCGCTGATGTAGTGGGAGAATACACACTTCATATACTGCATTGTATATGTGTGTGTGCCTGTGTGTGTGTGCGCAAATATAAAATAGGAAGATAATTTAAATTATTTTAATATTTGTATTTAGATTCTGGGATATGCAAATCAAAGTAAAGGTGTTGATTCCAAAATTGTGCAACGTTCATTATCCTTACTTGATAATATTGTGTCTATGAGGTTATTGTTTAAAGTAAATTTTTTTTTTTAAGCAAAAAAAATTTTTTAAGCAAAAAAATTGTTTTTTTTTTTTTGGTTCATTTTTTTGTGTTTATTATCAGTTCTTTTGGAAGATATTTTTATTATCAGTTCTTTTGGAAGATATTTTTATTATCAGTTCTTTTGGAAGATATTTTTATTATCAGTTCTTTTGGAAGATATTTTTATTATCAGTTCTTTTGGAAGATATTTTTATTATCAGTTCTTTTGGAAGATATTTTTATTATCAGTTCTTTTGGAAGATATTTTTATTATACATACTATTTTTTTTATCTTTTAATTAAAAAGCTATATGATTAAATTTTATCAGTAAATAATATAATTAAATTTTATCAGTAAATAATATAATTAATACAACTCTAAATAACTCTAAATAATTATTATCTTTTAAATTAGAAAATTTATGGAAACTAGTCCACACTAGTGTGGAAAATTAACAATAAACTTAAAATAAAAATAAAATTCAAAATGTTAGAAAATGCTTTATAGCTTTTTCTAACATTTTTTTTTTTTTTAAATTTTAAAAATAAATTTCTTTTATAATTCTAGATAATTCACATTTACAAAGTTTTCCATCTTTTTAAAACAATACACAAAAGTACACAATATAATCAATGCACAAAAATACTGTATAACAGAATAAATAGTAGACAGTATAAATAACATACAGAAATACGTGGCAATTTTTCAATAACTTTTTCAAAAAAAATTCTATTTTTGAATTTATCCTAAACATTTTTTCAGGTTTATCTCAAACATTTTTTTCTTTTAGTTGTTTTGTTTTTTTAAATGTTTTTCTTAAATTTTTAATTTATTTTTAATCTTCAGTATTTTTACTAATTTTACTTTATTTTTTTTAAATCTTCTAAAAGAATTTTTTTATATTATCTTTCTTCGTTTATTTCTTTTTTTTTGCTGTTAAAAAAACACTTCTTTCATTTGCAATGTCATTTTACTTTTTAATAATTTAATTTGTGTTGAACTTTATCTTTTAATTAAATAATTTTTTCTTTAATATTTATTTATACTGTATAATAATGATAGTAATAATAGTAAAAAAAAATAATAATAACATCAATATTAACACTAAATCCTTTAAAAGTCATTTCTATTGTGTGTACTTTACAAATAATGAAAATATCAATTTTGAGAAATTTATTTATATTTTTATTAATAAAAGAAAATATTTTTTGTTCTTAGTTAATAGAGCCATTTTTTAATGTTTTTTTTTAAATAAATTTTTAATTTTCAGAGCCATTTTTAATTGTTAATTGTTGGAGTTATTTTTAAAATAACTTTTTTTTTTTCAGTTTGCAAATTTTTGTTTTTCATTTGTTTGTTTTTTTTTTCTAATTTTTGTTTTTCATTTATTAATAGTTAAAGCCATTTTCCAAACAATTTCATAAATTAATAAAACTTATTTTTTTGTAATTTTTATTTTTTTTTTATTTTTTTTGATAAATATTTTTTTTTTTTTTTTAATTATTCAAGTTCAACTTTGTTTTATTTTAGTTCAACTTTGTTTTATTTTAGTTCAACTTTGTTTTATTTCAGTTCAACTTTGTTTTATTTTAGTTCAACTTTGTTTTATTTTAGTTCAACTTTGTTTATACGAATAATGAATGAAGTAAAGCTTGATAGTCTTGTTGATTACCTAAAAAGGTTTTTTTTCTTTTAATACATCATTTGTTAAATTAATTGTTCAAATGATTTTATTAATGATTTCATTGGTTTTAATTATATCATTGATTAAATTATTGATTCGATTGGTTGCATTGAGAATATCATTAATAAAGCTAATGATTCAATTGGTTGTTTTAATGATATTATCAATTAAACTGATGATATTATATGCATTGATAATGTCATTAACTTTTTTTAATTTTAATAATTAAATTATTAATTTAATTGGTTGGGTTATAATCTTATTTGCCAAACTTTTTTTACTTCTTCAAATTACTTGTTCAAACTTTAAATTTTTAAATTTAGTTCTGATACCAAACTTCAAATAAGTACGATGGCACTATGCAATAGTATTCTTCAAAGAATGGAGCATGAAAATCGAAAGGTTGTTTTAATCAAGTAACACAACATTATTTAATATAGAAGCCAAATATAAATGCAATATAAAATTTTGGTCATATCAGTCAAATTATAAAAAATTATAAAATTATAAATTTTCTGCTAACTTTTTAATAATAGAATTCTTTCAATATTTTTGACATTATTTTATAAACAAATGTATTTAAAAATGTTCAAGTAAAAATTAAAATTAAAATGATATTAAAATATTCTCAACTCAATGTTCATAGTCAACTTAATGTTCTCATCAAAAGTTCTCAATTATTTCTTTACTTTTTTTTTACTCAGATAAAAAAATGTTTTTTTTTTTAATATTTAGTTTTAAAGTTATTGCATTATCATTTTTTGAAAAGAAGAAACCCTTAGGTTATTATTTCTAAAGAAAATAATCATTTTACTCTTTTATGCAGAGAAATTGATTATGCTGTTATTTTTGCTGTGAAAGTAATAATTATTTTAAGTAATAGTTATTATAATTAAGATAATTATTTTATGCAATTGGTAGTGTTACAAAAAGTATACAAATTACAATTTTTATCTTTGAACTTCCTTGCTTACTGCACTGATGCACTATTTTGAACTTCCTTGCTTACTGCACTGAAGCTTTTGACAATCCTAACAATCCTAACAAAGCTAAAGAACTTGACAAAATAAAAAAGTTAACTGCAATATTTATTAAAAAAAGAATAATAATAGTAAACTTATATGTTTTTTAGAAATTTACACATACTTTATCAACAAAAGGTTATACAAATGTGTTACAACAGGTATTTTTTTATTTTTTGCTAGTTTTAAAAAAATATTTTTTATATTTACTATATATTTAAATGATAACTGTAAATGTTTTAAATAATTTAAACATCTTTACTATGTCCAGACGATATATCCTTTTTCCTAAAACTCAGTGTTAGAGGCAAAAATAATTGAAATTAATTTTTAAAGCTAAACAAGGTAGTAGAAGAATTTTTAGCTTAAGAGGTTTGAAGTACAGGAGATTTGAGGTACAAGAT